TTTTTTTAATATGACATTGTTTCAGTATACAAATATAACAACAATGATGACAGCTGCCACTTATTACGTGCATCAGTATTTGCCCACTCCTTTTTTGGTGTTTTGTATATTAACACATAAGTGGTTTTACTCTGTTACAGAGAGGGAAGAAAACAAAGCTAAGAGAGATAAAATACCTTGTGCAAAGCCACACAGATCATAGATCCCTGAACTGAGATTCAAACTCAACATGCAGGCTAATTCTACTATGACAGACTAAATCTCCCAAATTTATATTTGACTCTCACAAAATCTTGTGAAATAAGTAAGCCAAGGGTAGCTCGCTTTTCTTCATTCAGCTAAGGTTGATAATAGAGCAATCTGAACTTTATTTAAATAATTTTATGAGAATGATAGAAATTTAGAGCTAGGAAAAATTTAGAGATAATATAGATTAATAATTCTTAGGCTTTTTCTTTTTAGGACTACTTTATACTCTTAAAAAAATTAGTAAGAATCTCTGAAAGCATTTATAATATGTACTATATTTATCAATATTTAGCATATTAGCAAATAAAATAAGAACATTTTAAGTATTTTTTTATAATAACAACAATAACTCCAATATCCATTCACATAAGTAGCATATTTTTATAAAAACTACCTCTTTTTTTTCCAAAACAAAGATACTAGTGAAAAAAGTGCCATTGTTTTCCATTCATGTAATTCTCTTTACTATTTGACTCAATGAGGGAGGCAACTGGATTCTCTTATCTATTTTCTTGTTCAATCTATTATGAGATTACACGTGTCCTGTAACCTCTGGAGCACTCCACTGCACACACCTGAGACAATGAAAGTGAAAAAAGTCAAATAACCTCTAATTACTATTCTGAAAATAATATGACTCCAAGGACCCTCTTGGTAAAGTAGAGGTTTCTGTGTATCACACTTTGAGAACAGCTTATCTAGATCAGCATTAACAGATATGGAGACTGAGATGTTCTGTTAATCTGTTACTGAGCTAAAGTCTGATGAGGGGTTAGGAAGGGGTTGATACTCTCCTACAAGGGTATTAGATATGAATAGAATAGATACTAAGCAGCATCATGGAAATACATGGAGATGATTTTGAGGGAGTCTGTATCCTCACCTCTTCTCACACCTACTAATGGCACAGCAATCTACTTCTACCACCTACTGAATTTGCTCTTGCCTGGGTCAGCAATGATCTTGTTGTTACATTTAATGAACACATTTTAAAAAGTGTTTATTAATATTTTTTGTCTATTAGCAATCTTTGATATGGCTAATCACTCCTCTCATTTTAAGCACTGTATTGACATGATCCGCACACAATCTCACACTCAGTGAAATGTACCATCTCCTACTTGTCCAAGTTAGAAATGTGGGAATATTCTCTGACTCAGGCCTCTCCTTCACCATGTCATATCAATCTTTCTGAAAAATATTTTCCTGGTCCATCTAATTCTCTCTTTTCCCACTGTTTTGCCTTGAATAATTGCCTTACCTTTCATAACTGCATTATTACAACTGCCCTCTACCTCTTCTTTTGTCCAGTCTTAGCTCTTCCTATCTGTTTTTCTACTGAGAATCTGAGTGACTAGTTTTTTCAAGTTTGATTTTTTTAATTGTAAAAATATAGAGAACACAACATTTGTGAACATTTTCATGTGTACAATGCACTCAAACGAATCACATCAATCATGTTGTGCAATCATCATTAATTTCCATTGCCAAATTTTCCATCCTCATAAACACAATGGAAATTTCAAGTGGGCACTTTACAGAGCCCTTAAGATAAGTCCTCAACCCTGTAAGGTAATTTATAAGGTCTTCTTTAATAGGCCCAATATCCACCCCTCCAAATTGCACTCGTCGCTACTACTTCCTTACTTCTTAAGATTGTTTGTCCATGCTCTTTCACTTCCATGCAAGTATACAAACTGTTTCTTCTTCCATCCATCCCTTCCATTCATTCTTTTTTTGTTCTGGTGTTAACATTAACTCTTTTAGGATAATTTCCCTGAATCCACAATTCTTAGTTAAATAATCTTACTATATGGGTCCTCAACAATTTCTGCTTTCCACAACAAAGTATTATTTACTGCTAACTCTTCATTTTTAATTGCTTGCTTAATAATCTGTGTTTCCCTACGTAATTTTAGCTTTGTCTAGGCAGGAACTTTATGTATTGCATCTTTTATTGCATCCCAAATATCTAGAATCATGCCTGACTTGTAGTAAGAATTTTGCAAACACTTGTTTGATGCGTGAGCAAATAGATGGTGTCATTTTTTTTATTCTTACAGGCAATTGTACTTATGGTTTCCCAACTCAGTTTAACTTATGTAGTTGGAAATCATTCTTTAAATTATTTTATGATCCTGTAATACTAGATAATGTAATACATTTATTATCCTGTATGACTGCTATGGCAAAGTGATTCGATGAATGACTCTCATATGACACTTACCTGAAACCATGCCTGTCATCTGAAGTTAACTTCACACTTTAACGACCAGAAAAATCACCTGGGAAGATTGTTAAAATTACACATGCATGAGTCTATCCCCTGAAGATTTTGACTCACTTGTTTAGGTTGTAACCAGATCCACAGATTACTGTCATACCTCCCAACATTTGGGCACCACTGCCTTACTGCAACTATATACTGGTTTACTAATAAAAAGGAGTTAAAGAATTTTACCACCCTTTTAAAATTCATTCTAATTTTATTGCACAGCACTCCCTTGTGCAATGAAATTTTTCGACTTTCATATATCTATTTTTGGAGGATGTCATAGACTCTACTACAATTAAGCAAGTGTTATAAGTTCAAATATTTATTTTCACCCGTTGTACAGCTCAATGTTAACACCTGCATTCATTATACGTATGCTAAGCCTTCAGACTGGGTTGTATTATGTTTAATGGGTACATTTAATGTCAATCCATTATGTAGTATTTACTATAGTTAGTAAATATTTAAATTTGTATAACAAAATGGGAAAATAGTATTATACTGTGTGTTTTATGCAACTGTTATTTGTAGCATTTTAAATAACAAAATTCTAAAATTACTTAAAATGAAGTAAATTTTTTGGGATGATATTTTAAAAAGAGATGCTAAATATCTGTGTGAATTAACATATTTTTAAAATTGTGTGCCTTATTTAAGGATGAAAATATTGAAAATTAGTCATTATTAATTTTATCATTAATTATATAATATGTTACAGTGCATATGATATTGCATGCATAAAATAATTTATTATTTATTAATAAAACAATAAAAATAGTCCTAGCTCTAGATTTTATTCTCATGATCTCATGTTATTTTAAAACATAGTAGATTTTTAGTTGTAAAAAGGTATATTTTATTCCTGTTTCTAAATAGGGTTAAGTAATATATATAAAAAGAGAGAACAAGAGAGGAAAATAGTTCCAGATTAGTTATTTGCAAATATTTTGTTTTATTATTATTTGTCATACTAATATTCACGGAAGTTGTTTCCAGGAAAGACAGAAACAGAGAGTTATAAAGGTAGAAATGAGATAGAGAAAAAAAGGGTTCGATGAGTAGGATAATTAGGAGGAAGAGAAAAGAAAATTGCTGAATTTGGCCTAAGCAATAATAGAATTGGACAATTTCTTTTTATTCCCACACTCATTTAGATATTTGGTCTTTTGTATCAGTTTTCAAATGGGTTTCATTACTTGAAGATTGCATAAAAGAATAAATTCAATGATTTTTCTCTTCTATTTAAAAGCACATCACGGTTATCTGATCTATTGAAAATGTATCCATTAATTTGATATATTTTTAAAACACATGATCAGGAACTATTCCTCTAGGAGAATACTTGCTTTACTAATGTCTGCATTTATATTTATTTCTGATGTTTATGTTATACCTAGAAAATAATATGGAAGAAAGTTTGTTTAGTTTTTTAAAGTAAATAATTTTGGTTTAGGCTACATAGAGTCTATTTTATAAAGGAAAGTTATTTCACAATTGCATATGCACCAAATTGTGTGTACAGGTTATTCATTATAGCATTACTTGTAAAAGAAAAACAAGGAAGAAATAACCAGAATGTCTAACAATATGAGAGTTACATAAATTATGTTCAGTAGAAAACTCAGTGTTCATTAAGAACAAACTACAACAGTAATCACTGACTTACAAGGATCTCTAAGACACAAAATAATCATTAATGTCAAATATAAAACAAATCTATATGCGTAAATGTATACAATATGTTATGGAAGAATAATATTTCAAGACATTATCCACTGAGGAGTAGAATTGGTATATAAAGACAGACTAGTATACTTTATATCCTTTTATATATTTAAAATGTTTACAGGCAGTCCCCAGATTACGAACGAGTTCCATTCCTAAATCTGTCTGTAAGTCAAATTTGTATGTAAGTCAGAACAGTTAGGTATGGTTCATATCTAATGTCAGTCAAATGTTTGCCTTAGTAGGTAGTATATAGTGTACCTTTCTGTGCATAAAAAATACTAAAGAAGCACTTCCAGATGTGCGAAAACATCTTTAACATAATAATACAGTACTACTAATAATGTTTTAATGCCCATCACAAAGTAGCACCAGTTTGTTATTATGAACAATTGTATGTACCTCAAATTTTTAATAAAATAGTCTTTAAGGGTTTTGGTTCATTACTATGGGTTATATGTAAGTCAATGTTCATAACCCAGGGACTGTCTGTATATTAACTTATAGTCATGTCATTTTTTAAATCATTTGAAAAATATGTTCAAGAATATCAGAAAGTATCATTTTAACAAAGATTTTAAATATTTTAACAAAGATCTGTAGTTCTTAACTGGAATTTCAATGGTTGTACCATGAAATGTACATGTATGTTGTCAAGAAATCATGCACTTTAATAAATATGTTCTGTGATTGTATGGCTGTCTCTGTTTTTTTTCTCTAACAATTACTTCTTTTTCCATTTTCTTTAAAGGCCTCATTCGTTTGCAAGAGCTCATCAAAGCTCCATCAAGATATAATCTTCGACTCAAAATCCGTCAATTGCCTGCTGATACAAAGGATGCAAAACCCTTACTAAAAGAGATGAAAAGAGGCAAGGAATTCCATGTAATCTTTGACTGTAGCCATGAAATGGCAGCAGGCATTTTGAAACAGGTAATCATTAAATTACTTAAATTCTCAGTGTATTTATCATATTTGTGTGGTCTCATTTTTCTATCAATGTGCTATTGTCATATAGTACATTAAAAAAGAAAATCAGAGATGTCACCTTGATGTAATTTTATAATTGACGATTGCTTTCATTTAATTGTTTTAAAAGTAAATTAGTATAAATATTGATGATTTTCAAAACAGATTGTGTGAATTTTGAGGTTATTTTCACATAGCTACTTAGCTACAATACTGTTTGTTAATGTGAATATGTTTTAATGTTTCTGTTTTGTACTGAAATGAAGGAAGAATCTCAGAGTCAACAGCTGAGCAGCTCAACCATTAACAGTCAACCACTAGGAAAAAAAAGTAAAAAAAAACAAAATTCTATTTACCTGCCATCTACTATGAGATACCTTATATATTTGATCTTATGTCATCAGTGTGTGTCTCGGTAAGCTTATGTAACTTGATCAAGGAAATAGCAGGAATGGGATTAATTCATATTCCACCTAGTGTTATTAACACATATTCATTCCACATAAAGCACGGCCCACTTAAAAAAAAAAAGGTCATTCTAAATCAGTCATACAAAGCAATTCATAGCGGTAAAATCCCTTGATGATACTTAAGCCATTTTCAGACCTAACAACAACCTTAGACAACCTTAGATAACCCATATTTTACAAAAAAGGAAACTGAAGCTGAGAGTTAAATGGCTAGTACAAGACCATTCACTTACTGTATGGTGGAGTTTGGATGCAATTGAACTCAAGTCTTTGGATTTTATTTTCCAAGCTGTTTTATGTACACTGAGCTGAGAACCTCTCACGTATAAGATAATATATCACTACTGGACAGCGATGCATATTCAGATGTCAAATTATATTCCATGAAATATAACTGTCAACATAAATGCCTGCTATAAACATGGTTTATTAAGCAGATGTTTGTCCAGTCTTCTGATATGAATGTTGGTTTCACTATAGTAAAATATTTAATTGGATTTTGAAAATTGTTCAAGTGTAATATTTGAGTGATGAAGTATTAGAGATTTTTTCTTTTTGGTAAATAAATAAAATGAATATTTTTCATATAATACTAGAACAGTTCTTGACCACAGTTAGAATACACAAACTTAGAAAGGCTGCCTTTTATTTGTGTCTTGAGTGAGTAGCACTCTACTATTTCAGTGATAGAGCTTTGGTTTGCTTTCTCTAGGATTCCAAACAGTATGTAAATAATCAGTGGTCTTTACTCTTAAGTCTCTAATTCTAATTATTTTGCTCTCTGGAAGGTGAGAGTATCCATTAGCTTTAATAGAATTTTCATTTTGCCTTCTACTGAATTTATCTATTAATTTATACTTGTTTTCTTTTGTGTACACTGCTCTGTTTGCAAAAGGAAAACAAAAGATAATATTTAAAACATATACAATAGACAAGATTTCCAAAAGTTTAATAAGATTAATAGATTAAAATGAGAACAATGGTAGGATTAGAACATAAAAGTTAAGATGAAGTCAGAAGTGACATTATTACATAAAATGCATGCTCTGAGGTCCTATAATACAGGGTAGAGGTTGACCACATATATGGCATTTTGTGTTTTTTGATTTTTAACTCACCTAGTCCCAGAGAACATTTGTCTAGAAAATGAGAACAATGGTAGGATTAGAATATAAAAGTTAAGATGAAGTCAGAAGTGACATTACTACATAAAATGCATGCTCTGTGGTGCTGTAATACTGGCTAGAAGTTGACCACATATATGGCATTTTTTGTTTTTTGCTTTTTAACTCACCTAGTCCCAGAGAACATTTGTCTAGACACTAATTCAAGAAGAAAGAAACAGCTTTCTTCTAGTAAATGCATCAATATCTCAAATAGGGCTCTGTTTTATGGTTCATGATATTTTTATGAATTTTTTATTTCCTCAATATTGTCTAACATTGGAACGCCAAGGAGATGGTATAGAAGAGGGAAGAGCAGGCATAGATGAGCTTTTGGCAAGTCTGGATTAATTCAACAGCAAATATTAGAAGTGTCTGGAAAAAGTGATGAATTTAATTGAGGTAGCCTCATATACTTATTTATTTAAATTAACAGAGCTTTTGTTAACTATTGAGCAGTAGTGAATTTGAGGTTGCCCTGCCTGGAAAATACCTATACCTATATCTATATTCCTGGTAGGCACAGAGGCAGAACACATTTTAAAAGTGAGTGAAATTTGTGGCTGGCTAGATTTCCTCTGAGGCAAGTTGAATGCACTGATTGACTTATGTATAACACAACCTCTACCCAGATTTGTCAAAGAGAATCCCCGAGGTCAGGGCCAACTTCCTCTACAGTCAAACTTCACAAGACCATTTTAACACAAAGAATAATGGTAATCAAGAACTTGAAAGTCTAGATCAGAGAGAGTAAAATAAAAATTTTTGCCTGAAAAAATGTAAAAGTAGTTGCAAATAAACTCCTAGAAGAGCAAAAAGTCAAATAAAATTAAAATTTAAGTAATGTGTGTAAAGCACACCTCCTAAAAAAAGTGTTAACCTTGAGCAATATAATTTCTGGATGTGGTTTGATGGATAAACTGGTTGTAAAGTATACACCTAAATAACTGCATGCATTAACATGTCTACAGCATTAACACTACACTAGTTGTATTTTTGGGATTTCTAATATAATTTTTATTTTCGAAAAATTAATCTGAAGTATTTCTTTTTAGGAGGGATGATATATCACAACCTCTTTTCTGTTAAGGCCAGTCCTATATTATTTGCACATAAGAGGAAAGTAGTTTTATTATCTTTAATGTGGTTTGAGCCAATCATACAGCTTATTCAAATATAGTAACAAGACATAAATGCTATAATTAAAAGAAGAAGATCTAGAACAAGTTCTTTTTTATCCCACTGGAAATTATTAGCCAATCTTTCAGGAGTATTCCTGTTATCCCTTTTTGTTAGTAAAATTACTGTGTAGGTGCTCAGTCAGAAAAGGCTACCTACTTCTATTGCATTTTTAAATTATAGCCTATAACTGATTCTTGTATTCAGAATCAAAAGCTGAGGAAATGTTAATGAAATCCACAAATGGTCTGCAGTTATTCCTTGCAGATTTATTCTCAAATGAGAAACTTGTGGCCAGTGTGGAAAACTTACGTCAGAAGCAACCCTTCTCCCACCGTCTTGCTTCTTCCTCCACCTCCAACTCATGCCTTCATGCACTGGCCTGAGAAGACTAGGTTTTCAAATTATCAAGGTGGAAACTGGAAACGATTTTAGAATACAGAGATTTGAAAGTGGGTCTCCATGTTTGGGAATATAAAATATGCTATTTGGTAAAATGGCACAGATTATGCTCCATATACAAACTCTAAGGGTTAGAGACTGGAGTCCACATTTACTCACATTCTCACTTTGGGCAATTTAATCATCTATTTTTGAAGGCAACTGTCATGCTTTGAATTGTGTCCCCTCAAAATATCTGTCAACTTGGCTGGGTCATGATTCCCAGCATTGTATGGTTGTGTACCATTTTGTAATCTGATGTGATTTCCTTCTGTGTTGTAAACTCAATCACTATGATGTAATAAGATGGCTTAGTGGCAGTTATACTGATGAGGTATACAAGACTGGATAGTGTCTTAAGCCAATCTCTTCTGAGCTATAAAAGAGAGAAGCGAGCAGAAACACTTGGGAACTTCACACCACCAAGAAAGCAATGCCGGGAGCAAAGTGCAACCTTTAGACCTGAGGTTCCTGTGCAGAGAAGCTCCCAGACCAAGGGAAGATTCACTACACGGGCCTTCCTCCAGAGCCGACAGAGAAAGTGTTCCTTTGGAGCTGACTCCCTGAATTTGGGGCTTGTAGCTTACTGGACTGTGAGAGAATAAACTTCTCTTTGTTAAAGCTATCCGCTTGTGGTATTTCTGTTATAGCAGCACTAGATGACTAAGACAGCAACTAACAACAACAGTTTCCTCCCCTGTAAAATGAGCATAATAATAGGACCTACCTCATAGAGTTTTTGTGAGGCTAAAATGGATTAAAATATGCAATGTGTTTAGAATAATACTTAGCATGTTGTAGACATTACATAAGTGTTACTTATAATTATACATCTACATCACTATCTCTTTCAGTATCTTTATGTCAGTTTCTGTACCTATTGAGTTGATAAAGTGCAAAATATTGACAAGGATAATTCTGAGCTATCATTGAGTTGTTCTGGAGATGGGAAACTTTCTACACATATCCATAAGGAACAGTGCCTTCTACAAAGATGATATTGTAAATTTTTATTTAATAACAGAAATTTACTTTTATTTTGCCTGAGAAACAAACTTCATTGGCTTATATTATTTTTATATATTCAAGAAATATTATTTGGTAGGTGAGAAGGCTGGGGGGATAGGGAAGCTACATTAAGGGAAACAACAACCAAAATGGAAATAATGAGAATGTGGATATATTGTGAAGAACGTAACAAATGTCACTGAACAATACGTATAGAAATGGTTAAACGAGAACCTAATTTTCTGTGTAAATGTTCACTAAAAACACAAAATATTAAAAAAAAAAAAGAAATATTTTTTGGAGATTTGGTTTCTAAGTTTTCTTCCTCTGAACGATTCCTTGATACCACCTTCCATTAACTGATGTTTCTCCCTTCTTTTATACACTTTGTATGTTCTAAACTTTTTCACAAGTATCTATCCCTTTTTAACAGCCTATGTTGTAAAACAATACCTTTTATTCTGCCTAATTGGCTAATACCAATCAATATTTGAGCATGATGCTTTTCTATACATAGAATACACAAGGTTCTGCTGGGGCAGCTACTTAGTAAATGAGTTTGTTAGTGGTTTTTGAAAGTGTATTAGATGCATCTAAGAGTACTTGTTTCCAGCTAAGAGTTCTTCATTCAGTTAAAAATTGCACCACTTTTTAATTATCATCACCAACTACTGTTTGTTGATAAACAACTATTTCAAAAGCAGTCTCTGTTGGCAGAGGGGAAAATGACAGGGACACTACCTATAACTAATCCAAAAGTCTTTGTTTAAAGATTGATAGTCTTATTGAAACATGATGATTGAAATGTGCAATAAAACATAGTAATTTGCAACTGTCTATTAATAAAAACAAAAAACATTCCATTAATTATCTGTACTTTTTAAATAACAGTCTTAATTTACATTTGCATAATTAATGCTAAGGAAATGTCTCTAAAGTGCTCAAAACTATGACTGTTGGCATAGTACTTTGCAGCACTTTTTTCCTAATTCATTAATATTGTTTATCAGAACAAAATGGTGTTCCTCATTATGGTATTTGTAACAGAGACAGCCACCACTCGTTTGTTTGTTGTACTGTGGTGGCTTGCATGTTGCTGTGATGGTGGAAGCTGTACCACTGGTATTTCAAATACCAGCAAAACCACTCATGGTGCACAGATTTCAGCGGATCTTCCAAACTAAGACAGACTGGGAAGAATGACCTAGTGATCTGCTTCTGAAATAATTGGCCAGTGAAAACCTTGTGGATAGCAGCAGAACATTGTCAGATATAGTGCCAGGAGATGAGCCCCTCAGGATGGAAGGAACTCAAAATATCACTGGGGAAGAGCTGCCTACTCAAAGTAGAGTCAACCTTAAAGACATGGATAAAGTAAAGCTTTCAGGATTGTTATTTGCTGATGTAGCATGACATAAAATGAGAAGAAACAGCTGCAAGCATCCATTAGTAACTGTTTTAGTTATCTAGTGCTGCTTTAACAGAAAAGTCACAAGCAGATGACTTCAACATCAGAAATTTATTCTCTCACAGTTTTGGAGGGTAGAAGTCTGAATTCATTGCGCCAGCTCTAGGGAAGGCTTTCTTTCTCTGTTGGTTCTGGGGGAAGGTCCTAGGCATCAAGCTTCCTCTGGTCTAGGAGCTTCTCAGTTCAGGGACCCTGGGTTCAAAGGACACGCTCTGCTCCTGGCTCTTCTTTCTCAGTGATATGAGGTCTCTCTCCTCTCTGCTCGATTCTCTCTTTTATATCTCTAAAGAGATTGACTCAAGATATAACCTAATCCTGTAGATTTTGTCCTGCCTCATTAACATAACTACTTTTAATCCTGCCTCATTAACATCATTGAGATTAGGATTTACCACACATAGGATAATTACATCAGATTACAAAATAGTGGACAACCACACAACACTATTAATCATGGCGTAGCCAAATTGATAACATTTTGGGGGGACAGAATTCAATCCATAACAGTAATCAGAACATGGAATGTACAAAGTATGAATCAAGGAAAATTGGAAGTCATAAAAATTGAAATGGAACACATAAAGATGGATATCCTAGGCAATAGTGAGCTGAAATGGACTGGTATTGGCAATTTTGAATTAAACAATCATATGGTCTACTATGTATGGAATGACAAGTTGAAGGGGAATAGCATCACATTCATCATCAAAAAGAACATTTCAAGAGCTATCCTGAAGTACAGCGCTGTCAGTAATAGCATAATATCCATACACCTGCAAGGAAGACCAGTTAATAGACCATTATTCAGATTTACACACCAATCATAAATGTCGAGGATGATGAAATTGAACATTATTGCCCACTTTGGCAGGCTGAAATTGATCAAAGATGCAATCAAGATGCATTGATAATTAGTGGTGATTGGAATGTGAAAGTTGGAAACAAAGAAGAAGGATTGGTAGTTGGAAAATATGGCCTTGGTGATAGAAATAATGCAGAAGATCGCATGATAGAATTTTGCAAGACCAATGACTTCTTCATTGTAAATACCTTTTTTCAACAACATAAATGGGGACAATACACATGGACCTCACCAAATGGAATACACAGGAATCAAATCAACTATGTGGAAAGAGAGGATGGAGAAGTTCAGTATCATCAGTCAGAACAAGGCCAAGGACTGACTGCAGAACAGACCATCAATTGCTCATATGCACATTCAAGTTGAAGCAGAAGAAAATTAAAACAAGTCCACAAAAGCCTAAGTATGACCTTGAGTATATCACACCTGAATTTAGAGACCATCTCAAGAATAGATTTGACGCATTGAACACTACTGACCAAAAACCAGACGAGTTGTGGGATGACATCAAGGACATAATACATGAAAACACAAAATGGTATTAAAAAGACAGAAATGAAAGAAAAGACCTAAATGGATGTCAGAAGAGGCTCTGAAACTTGCTCTTGAATGTCGAGTAGCTAAAGTGAAAGGAAGAAATGATAAAGTAAAAGAGCTGAACAGAAGATTTCAAAGAGCAGCTAGAGAAGACAAAGTAAAGTATTATAATGCAAAGTGCAAAGATCTGGAGTTAGAAAACTAAAAGGGAAGAACACTTTCAGCATTTCTCAAGCTGAAGGAACTGAATTAAAAATTCAAGCCTTGAGTTGCAATATTGAATGATTCTATGTACAAAATATAGAATGACTCAAGGAGCTTCAAAAAAAGATAGAGGGAATACATAGAGTCACTATACCCAAAAGAATTGGTCGGCATTTACCTATTTCTGGAGGTAGCATATGATCAAGAACCAATGGTACTGAAGGAAAAAGTCCAAGCTGAACTGAAGGTATTGGCAAAAAACAAGGAACCAGGAATTGATGGAATACCAATAGAAGACCGAAGAAGAACTGATGCCTTTGAATTACGGTGTCGGCAAAGAATATTGAATATGCTGTGGACTGCCAGAAGAATGAACAAATCTGTCTTGGAAGAAGTACAGCCAAAATGCTCCTTAGAAGCGAGGATAGTGAGACTTCATCTCCCTTACTTTGGACATGGTATCAGGAGGAAGCAGCTCCTGGAGAAGAACATCATGCTTGGTAAAGTAGAGGGTCAGTGAAAAAGAGGGAGACCCTCAATGACATGGATTGACACAGTGGCTGCAATAATGGGCTCAGACATAGCAAGGATTGTAAGGACAGCACAGAACTAGGCAGCGTTTCCTTCTGTGTGCGCAGGGTCACTATGAGTTGGACGGACTTGAAGCCACCAAATAACAACAGCAAGTGGAGACATTACAAATATATAAGGAACTGAGAAGTACTAATTTCAAGTTTTTTGTCAAATTTAGTGCCTTCTTTTGTATGTAAGGGTATAAGCTTTACAATTGCAAACATTCAACTAATAGCTTTTCTATCAAGACTATTCGTTCAGAGACTCATTCAGTAATCACTACTCTTCTGTTAACCACAGAGAAAAGGCTTAGTTTGACCCAGTTTTAATGTTACGTGAATATTATAGGCTGAATCTCCATTGCTTTTCAATTATTTTGTTCTCACTTGTTTTATTGATATAAGGTATTTTATACAATGTGTACCTTCAACAATATTTTTAATTTTTATTTAATTAATTAATTTATGTATTTTCTGTACTTCTTAGGCATTAGCTATGGGAATGATGACAGAATACTATCACTATATCTTTACTACTCTGGTAAGTAATTTATTAAAAGATAAAGTTAATGTTCTCAATTGTATTATTATGACCTTTTGATCATAATAGGGGATTTTGAGCAAGAAAAAGTAGTACCTTTGTAGCTATATTTTATTTTATTTTGATAAAACCCAGAAAGAATTATCATTAATAAGAATTAATAACTCTTGGTGGTAAGCTGACGATTTTGAAATAATATTGTTTAAGATATCAATTAAAAATGTTATATGTCTGACTCTTATATAGCTTTAGAGGTCCTTCAAAACACAGTGGTAGATTTTAAAATTAGTTCTAAGAAATCAATGCTTTAAAAAATTACAAATTCTTTTGTTGTTATCTCAGCTTTATTCACCTTACGAAAATCAGATTTATTGAAGCTAACCTTTAAGTACAATAAATTTTTTTTCCTATTTTTGCCTATATCTAGTTAGATTTTTACAAAAAGTCAATGTGCTTTTATTTGTCATTAACAAATTGAATGTTACCTTTATCTTTTGTCTTCACATATCCACCAAACAATTTTTCCTCAATATGCCCCAAAAGTCCACTTTACCCTTTCACCAAGCCTACTTACTCTTAACTCTATTTCTTTGGCAATACATTATCTTTGTTTTCCTTCATGTATGAGACAATTCTCTGTCACACTAATTCTAACCTGGCCATCTCCCAAAATATGAGAATATTTCCAAATTTAGGCCTCCATCCTATTTTCTTTCTCTTTAATTATTTTTGAATATCATATGTTGGGAACTTCAATTATTGCTTTTGTTCAAATGAGATCTAAGTATCCGTCTGTATATTCCTGAATTATATATTACTACTTAGCTGAAATTTCTAATTCCTGTGAGATTAAGATAATTTCAATATATCTTATCTATCTAAATATATCTTATTATTGTTGTTGTTAAATGCTGTCGAGTCGGTTGCGACTCATAGCGACTGTATATAAAACAGAATGAAACACTGCCCAGTCTTGTGCCATCCTCAAAATCCTTGCTGTGTTTGAGCCCATTATTGCAGCCACCGTGTCAATCCATCTAGTTGAAGGTGTTCGTCTTTTTGCTGACCCTCTACTTTATCCAGCATGATATCCTTCTCCAGGGACTGTTCCCTCTTGATAACATGTCCAAAGTATTTAAGATGAAGTCTTGCCATCCTCGCTTCTAAGGAGCATTCTGACTATATCTCTTCCCAGACAGATTTGTTTGTTCTTCTGGCAGTCCATGGTATATTTAATATTCTTTGCCAACATCATAATTCATATACATCAATTCTTCTTAATGTATTCAAAACATATATTATCATCTAAATTGACCCCTCTTCTGATTTCCTTCAAAACTTTCATTGTCTCTGACTCTTTCTTTATCATCAACAAAATTCTATTGATTTTTCCTTCATATCATCTGTAGGATCCATCTTCTCCATTAGCACAATTACCAATCTAACTAATGTTCTCTTTCTGTTAACTCAAATGTCTTCCCATTTGTGTCCTTGCTTCTAGGAGTCTTGAAAACCCCTGCCAAATAAATTACTCAAATTTAGTTGATTAGCAATAACTTCCCGTGATAGCAACTCTTTTCCTCCGGTGGAGATGCTTCATGCAGAAGGTTTTAATTTATTGGTAAACATGAGACTGACTCTGCTGTATCTCTACATCTCTTCCTCTTGGGTGACTCTTTGTAGCCTCTAAGAAATTTAGTGATTGACAGACAGGTAGAAAGGGAGTGGGAGCCTTCACTCATCAGCAAATTATATTTCAATGCTGTTGTTATTCACCTCCACCACAATCATAAGATTTGGAGAAAATCACAAGTATTTCTCAATAAGGAAAAAGAATGAGTATTCTAGTTTAGAATACAACATTTGAACTCATTAGGCTGCAGTTGTATGCCTTTTGAAGTTTGGTTTTAATTTAACATTCCCATTTTCTTCTACTGTTCTCCTTCATTAATTCTGTTTTACAGCCAAACAGATCTAGCTCAGTCTGCTGAATCGGTTTATGTTTTCTAATTTATGTGTCTTTTACTCACACTTAGAATGCCCTGCTTTTTTCCTGTCAAAAGTGTTGCCATTCAGTAATGGCAGCTCAGATCCCATCTGCTCTGTGAAGTTGTTCCTGACCATCATAAATTGAAAATGATCTTTCTTGCTTTTGACTCCTATTTTGTTCATTACTTCTTCTCTTTACTGCTTAGCCTATACTGCCATACATTATATCCCTTGAATATGTCATATCTTCTTGGTTAAATTGTAAACATTGAAAAATAAAAAAACCTTAAACTTCCCTGTATTTTTTCATAGCACAGAGCATGGCTCAGACCAATGCCAGCTGCTTGCCACTGAATTTTATTCCTGTTATGTGGACTAGTGTTAGATGAATGAGTCATGGCCCAGCTGTGACCAGGATCAACAGCATTAACCTTGCCCTGGTTCTCAATGTTGTTCGTAAGATCTGAGGATTAGCTAATGCTAGCTTGAAAGAGGGCAACAATTCCAGATACTGCCTCTTCTCGTGGTGATATCCCACCCCCCTGGCAAATTTGGTCTCTTATCTTCTGGGAAAACTGAAGAGAAAAACCTGAGATTCACTGTATACAGACTGGAAAGGACACCAGAAATCTTAAGTGTTCATTTTGGAGAAGTTGTTGAGTAGGATATAAGACAGAGAACCTACAAGTTGTCTGCAACCAAAAAGACTTTTTTTTTCCTCTCAGATTCATTATACGCTTCTTTAATTAGAAGTCATATTTCATAACTTTCTTATTTAAATACACACACACAAACACCCCACAACAAAACAAAACAAAAACAGCAATAGCTAGGCAACGTATCAGGGCATTAAAAAAAAAAAAAAACACAATAGTTCAAAGATAAATGTGTAAACTTGAAGAGAAAACTATTCTCAGTACAGTGAAGGCGTCAGCTATAGAAGAGCCTGTTATTCCCTTGGTGGAATAAGAATACTTTATATACATAAATATTTATGCACAGAGCATATATTTGCTTTGGCAAAGCAAGAGGAGAGTCTATGTGAGTTCTGGTGATTTGTGATGTTTAACATCACTTGAGGCACAATGGTGTTAACTATTTCAAGGGAAACAAGAATAAGTGATTATTTCAATAATGCATGCCTATGAATATACTCTGTTGATAATAACACAGAGAAATTTGTCTTTCAGGACCTTTTTGCTCTTGATGTTGAGCCCTACCGATACAGTGGTGTTAACATGACAGGGTTCAGAATATTAAATACAGAAAATACTCAAGTTTCCTCCGTCATCGAAAAGTGGTCTATGGAACGGCTGCAAGCACCTCCGAAACCCGATTCAGGTTTGCTGGATGGATTTATGACGGTATGAATACCCACTTAAAGTTCAGTTTGTATGTTTCTAAATAGTAATGCATAAATGATTAAGTCCTCAGGATCTAAACTTTAATTGTTTGACCTTAAAGGCATGATATCGGAGCTATTACTGTACACAGTTCTATAACAGATATTTAGATCAATTTTGTATGGCAAATTTGTATGGCACTTTCATCCAAGTATCTCAAAAGACTTTACAACTGTTGTTGGAATAGTACAATGTATGGATTTTTCTAACACTAATTAGTGCCATATATAGCACAAATTAGAGACTAAAGATATTAATCTGCTAGTTATCCTTGTGATCTTAACTATCAGTATGTAAGTGCTCTTTATTATGTTGGTTTCTGACAACTGATACCATATAAATGACTTAACATCCCACAAATATCTTCCTGGAACTTATTTACTCTTTAATGTTCAAGACTAACCAATTATCACTTGTCATTTTCAAGTCTTAGTCTAATCCTAGAAACTGAATTTACTACATATACTGTAAGAACGGTAGAGCTCTTGTATAATTTAATCTTTAGTTATTTATACTAGTGCTGTCCAATAGAAATCTAATGTGAGTTATCTATGTAATTGCTACGTTAAAAAACAGGAACAAATCAATGTAATTTGTTTTATTTAATCCACTATATCAAAACTACTATTATTTAAACATGTTATCAATATAAAAATTGTGACTGAGATACTTTGCATTCTTTTTTTTTTCTTATGAAGTCTTTGAAAGTCTTTGTAAGTGTGTTTGACACTTATTGCACATCTCGATTCAAACTAGTTACATTTCAAGTGCTCAATATGTGGCTAGTGGCTACTTTATAGGACAGGGTGAATTTATACTATTCAAACAAATTATAAATGCCTGATGTAGATTCATTAAATCTACATTCTACAGAACAAATTACCTCTAAAATGTAAGAAATTGCTTAGCACTTGGGCAATATCTACATTTCCTAGGTCATTACAACCTGCTTTTAATAGGTGTAAGTCTAAAAGGAAGCTTTATAAACATAAGTATCCTCTAAGCATCCTCTGTGGAAAATCTTTTTGTATTATAATTGTAATATGTACATTAATTGCTTCAATGGGAGTTTGTGGCACAGTGTTTAAGAGCTCAGCTACTAACTAAAAGGTCGGCAGTTCGAATCCACCAGCTCCTTGGAAACCCTGTGGGACAGTTCTACTCTGTCCTACAGGATCACTATGAGTCAGAATCTACTCAACAGCAATGAGGTGTTTTTTTTTTGTTTTTTTTTTGTTTTGGTATGGGAGTTCAAAGCATATTTTTTTATGTTGTGAATGATTGTTTTTCCTTTAAAAGATTAGTGATATAAAACTGAAGCCCCTCTAGAGACTATGAAAAAAATCATGATTACACAAAAGGTACCAAACAAACTTCTGATGGAAAGGAAAAAAAAAATTTGTTTTCTTTTTTGTGAGAAAAAGAGCCCCCTATAATTTGAAAATATCATATATACATTATTTAAAAAATAAATAATGTGAAGAGAATATTACTCCTTTCTATATAGAGATGTTTAACCAGTTCTTTTAGTTTGATTTTAGCCTCTGATATATTTGAGAAAATTTTCTGGTATGAGAAAATGGAAATAACTTAAAAATGAACATTTTTGCCTCTAAATTACAGCCAGATTTAAAATAAAGCACAATTTAGAAAAAATTACAAATATTACATTTTATTTACAATTCAAAGATAATGAATCAAACTCAAGCAAGGTTATTTTTTAATTACATGTGTATTTTTTCCATATTTACTTTTTAGCAGTGTTTACCATTTTTAAATTTCAGGATGGATATCTTATCATTTCAGTTGTTCGACAAAATACTTATTGAATGGTTTCAGGAAAAGTAAATCAATAGACATCATGAAAACTGTAACACTTCCATAATCTAAGACTTTTACACATTATAATGGTGCCGATGTACATCCATTCATATGACCAAGGATTAGTGTGCCCCTTTACATGTAAGAATCATAAAAATCATCTAACTTTACTTTGATGCTCTCTGTTGCAGTCTAAATATCATCCCCTGAAATGAAATCCTTTCTAACTTCTAGTAACTTATGTAGACAGATAAATACAGAGACAAATGTTTTAATTTCTTATCCAGGAAGGTAGGGGCTCTTGGAGAGAGCTGACCTCCAGAAAATGGATCAAAAAGAAAGATGTTGGGAGAACTACAAGTTTGGGTTCTGTCCTCGCAAAGAGTCCACTCCTCCTCTGTTCTATCTTTCTTCATGTCAGTTCTGAAATGGCAGGTGATTTGATGGGAGCAGATAAAGGATAGAGTGAAAATGGACTGATAAACGAATTTGCCTCTTTATTGAAAATCCTGGGCATTGTATATAGATCATGGATTTTGAAGTCTTTAGAAGAGTGTTTAATGTCAGTATGCTTCCCTTTGGTGTAGTCATGAAAAGTTTCTCAAGTGGCATATTAAATAAGAAGTAAAATGGAAAGTTATAGGGGATAATTACCCCTTCGTTTATATATTTTTATTTGAAATACTGTAAGACAAAGATTTCATCTGAAAATATACATGAGGACATTTTTGAATGAGTAGGTTAAAGATAAATTTATTGTATGAGAACTTTTTGAATAATTATTTCCTGTCTAAAATTTTATACCACCTATTTATTTTATTTTGTTTATAAATAGAGCATGTTGTTGTTGTTAGGTGTCGTAAAGTTGCTTCTGACTCACAGCGACCCTATGTACAACAGAAGGAAACACTGCCCAGTCCTGTACCATGCCCACAATCCTTGTTCAGCTTAAGCCCTTTGTTGCAGCCACTGTGTCAATCCATCTCTTTGAGGGTCTTCCTCTTTTTCACTGACCCTGTACTTTACCAAGCATTATGTCCTTCTCCAGGGACTGATCCCTCCTGATAACATGTCCAAAGTATGTAAGACATAGTCTCACCATCCTTGCTTCTAAGGAGCATCCTGGTTGTACTTCTTCCAAGACAGATTTGTTCATTCTTCTGCCCGTCCATGGTATATTCAATATTCTCTGTCCAGCTTTCACATGCATATGAAGCAATTGAAAACACCATGGCTTGGGTCAGGTGCACCTTAGTCCTTAAAATGACATCTTTGCTTTTTAACACTTTAAATAGGTCTTTTGCAGCAGATTTGCCCAGTGCAACGCATCTTTTGCTTTCTTGACTGCTGCTTCCATTGGTGTTGATTGTGGATCCAAGTAAAATGAAATCCTTGATAACTTTAATCTTTTCTGCATTTATCATGATGTTGCTTATCAGTCCAGTTGTGAGAATTTATGTTTTCTTTATGTTGAGGTGTAATCCATACTTAAGACTGTGGTCTTTGATCTTCATCAGTAAGTGCTTCAAGTCCTCTTCACTTTCAGCAAGCAAGGTTGTGTCACCTGCATAATGCCGGTTGTTAATGAGTCTTCCTCCAATCCTGATACCCCGTGCTTCTTCCTATAGTCCCACTTCTCAGATTATTTGCTCAGCATACAGATTGAATAAGTACGGTGAAAGGATACAACCTGTTGCACACCTTTCCTGACTTTAAACCAGACAGTATCCCCTTGTTCTGTCTGAACAACTGCCTTTTCACCTATGTACAGGTTCCTCCTGAGCACACTTAAGTGTTCTGGAATTCCCATTCTTCACAACATTATCCATAATTTGTTATGATCAACACAGTTGAATGCCTTTGCATAGTCAATAAAACACAAGTAAACATCTTTCTGGTATTCTCTCCTTTCAGCCAGGATCCATCCGACATCAGCAATGATATCCCTGGTTCTACATCTTTTTCTGAATCTGGCCTAAATTTCTGACAGTTCCCTGTTGATATGCTGCTGCAGCTGCTTTTGAATGATCTTCAGCAAAATTTTACTTACGTATGATATCAATGATATTTTTTGATAATTTCTGCATTCAGTTGGATCACCTTTCTTGGGAATTGGCATAAATATGGATCTCTTCCAGTCGGTTGGCCAGGTAGCTGTCTTCCAAATTTCTTGGCATAGACGAGTGAACATAGAGCACAGAACATAATTTTTTTGGAAGTGCACATGAAGTTTGTCATTAAGATGTCTTCCAAAATGAATGTAGATTGATTATTTTTCACAATTTCCTGTTTTGAAAATTGATAATATATTTTCAAATCCTTTCTTTGAAGAGAAAGATAATTTTATATAACATTAATTCTTAGTACATGCTTACATAAAAATCATATGAAATATATATATATATAATGTTTGTTTATTAGGCCTTGCGTAAGTATTCTTTTTCTTCATTTAACATTATGTAGTAAGCATTTTCCTAAGTCATTAAATGCTTAGGAAATAAAATAAGGCTATTTCTGTCATGAGTGGAGTCAGAAACTAAGAGGATTCTAGTTAGAAAAGAGAAGAATTATAGCCTGCCATTGAAGTATTGGCAATACTCTCTTCAGTCAATTCATGATATCTCAGTGTTTATATATATCTCCACCACCCCACCCCCCAGCCTGTATGGTCCCATAAAGAAATGGAATTATCAGCAAAGTCCCTAATGCTTGGAGCAAGACCTATTATTATCAGTATCATAGTCATTTGTCACTATGTAAGATCATAGTGCTTATACTTTCACATCCTTTTTTATGTTTGAGCTATAAAAGGAAACAATGAATCTGATTCACAAGTTTTTTTTTCTGCTTGAGTTATTACCTCAACTGACCCTTGGGTTAACTGTTTATCAGCCAAATGACTGTAGTAGGCAAGATCACTTCTCCGGAAGCCAGTTTCTTCTGCAGTCTCTGGGTTCAGCATATTAAACATAGTAATGTTAATAGCACAGCAAAATTTTTAACTTCACTTAGTATAAACCCAACCAAGGAATCAAATCACACAGTGCAGCCAAACCTGATCTAGTCAAAAAGGAAGAAAGGAAGCCTAATCCCCTTCCTTCACACGTGTTTTTTTTCCCCAGGTCACCTTTCTCCCACTT